AAAAGTTAGCTACTAGTTCTGACAAAGTGGTGCAAACCAGCTGAATCCCACCACTGCTTATAGTACACGCTGGAGGAAACTAGTCCAACAATATATTTATTGTTATTAACTGTGTTTTATTAGTTGGTGTTTAAAGTGAACAAATGCTTGCTTTGAATTGTTATAGAGAAGTCCTATTTGTCTCATTCACACAAAATATTCAGGGCTGAATCTGCTTTCTAATTTGCTTGGCTTTGGTTTTCACACTACACTGTTCACAATGTATCCAGAAGAGATGGGTCTGTGGAACTCACTGAGACATGCACAAAGGAACTGTCAGAAGTAAGTCTTCATCTTGGTTCATTCAAGCCGGGGATAAATAAGCAACATGGCGACTGCTTTGGGAAGAAGGTTACAGTTTATTGAAGAAGCCCTTGCAGGAAAGAGCAGAGGAGAGGAAAGAGGAGTTGAGCACATGGGCAGTAGGTTTTTATACCCTCTAGCCTTGTTTGGAATAGTTTCCTGTTCCTGTGGCATGAATCTTGAGACTATTTCTGAGTGTCTTTCTAGGCCTTGTTATTTGTGGTTTAATCCTATTATCATATCCTGCTTCCCAGGTGATGGGGCTAATGACTCCTAGAGTTTGGGTGGGGCATGCAGATTTTAATTTTGTCTTCTTGAGTGCTCTGGCTTCAACTTTCTGATGGTTTTACATCTGCATTTGTATGGGGCTAGTTCTTGCTTGGGGCAGAGAGATAGATTTGGGGCCAGGTTTGGTTTTAAAAAGTCCTTTGGAGGAAAAATATATTTTCTGCCCTTTTAATGTTTCCTTCTCTGGGCTAACTTCCCCCAGAACCAAAGTAAAAACTATCCCAACTTTTTAGAGAGTGCAGGTGCAACCAAAGCACTTAGTTTAATAAGGGGTTGGATAAAGTTAGTAACTGAGCTAAAATTAGCCAACCTCGTTTTAGCTTAGCATGTTACAGAAAACCATATTGAATCAATGTTCTATTAATTCTGTTCAACCATAACCAGAAAGTTGGGTTAACTTTTTAAGCCATGGTTAAAGTGAACACTTTATGAGAACAGAGCCAGTGAACTCAGTGGTGCTGAATGCCAAGGAAATAGTTGAAGGATTATGATCTCAGGCACTAAAGAAAAAGGGAAATAGCTAAAATAATGACCCAGCCATTTTCTCTTGCAACCTGGAAGCTCTGTTTATTTTTTTTCTCTCCCTACATTCCTTCCATCTTTTCTGGACATGCTCCCAAGGAAAAGTAAATAGTGCCATCTACTGGTGACATGTCACAATAGCCACATTTTGATATTATTTTGCAACAAAGACAAGAAACAAAACATGGGATAAGTCCTGACTGACTTTTTCTTCATACATCATCCTATGAAATTATATTCAACCTTGTTGGGGTCATTCAACAGGGATGACCAATGAAGAGTTCAATATAGATCATCATACAGTCCATAGTCCAGTGATGGCGAACCTTTTAGAGACCGAGTGCCCAAACTGCAATCCAAAACCCACTTATTTATTGCCAAGTGCCAGGTGGACATGGCCCACTGGGTGGCATGCTGTGGTGGTCATGGTAGATTGGGTGAGTGTAGCCAAGGTGGGTGTGGTCACATCAATATTGCTCATGGGGAGGGATGCCTGTGGTGGGTGGGCAGGGTTGGGGGAGATCCAGGGGGTCTCTGGCAGGTGGGGCAGTAGGCAGGAGGCTTGTCCTGCGGGGTGAGATGAGGCAGGGCAAGGGTGCCATTGCCATGGGTCAAGGCAAGGGCTGGGGCGGCTGCTGCCTGACACCATTGGCCCCCGCACACAGAGGCCAGCGAGCTCATGGGGGCTGATGGTGTCTGTCAGCAGCCACAGCCTGCCAGCCCCTCGACCGGCATATTCTGGGGCTCCGCAGCCCACCACCAACAGTTCAAAGAAGCTGCCTCTGAGCTGGATGGCCGGCTGACAGCTGAGGAGGCGATGCAGTGGGTTGTGCCCAGGAAAAGGAGAGCATGCAAGGCCAGGAGGGACAGGACCGGGGGGGGGAGGGAGGGAAATCAGCTGTGCCGGGATGCATCCGGCCATGTGGGACCTCGGCGAGTTAGCAGCTGGCTGGTTGAAAAGGGACATTTGCCATCTCCAGGGCATGGTACGCGTGACCACAAAGAGGGCTCTGAGTGCCACCTATGTGCCATAGGTTTGCCACCACTGCCGTAGTCCAACTTTGGAATCTGTTACTACCATCTGAGATAGGGTTACTGTATCAGGGCTGCAAAAACCTGGATGACCGCTAGTCCATCTACTTGTCATCTGGATTTCTGCCATTCAGGTAGGGTAGCTCTAGCCTGAAGGGAAGTGATTTACATGGCATTAAAAGAGGGGTAATCAATTTGTAGGCCTTTTTTGAAAATCAGGAAGGAACAATGTGATAGAGTAATCATGGATTCAGGTGGACTTTTAATGTTCACCTACAGCAGGGGTAGGCATGCAAATCTCACTTAACAAATATCTCACTTAGCAACACAAATTTTGGGCTCAATTATGGTCGCAAGTCGAGGATTGCTTGTATATTGTAGGTCAGGGGTAGGCAACCTTGGCTCTTTTATGACTCGTGGACTTCAACTCCCAGAATTCCTGAACCAGCATGGAATTCTGGGAGTTGAAGTCCACGAGTCATAAAAAAGCCAAGGTTGCCTACCCCTGACCTAGGGAAAATTAGGCCTGTAGGCTAGACTAGGAAGTGAAAAAAACCCATCCCAGAAGAAGGCAAAGGCCAACAGTGAAGTAAAAAAAACCTGCATGGTCGCATCTGTGCAGTCCCCAGGAGTCACTCTTTTTTACTGTATGACCGACCGGTAGGCATATTGAGTTCACTCTTGCTTTGGACCACTAAAGCTGTCCTAGCTTAAAGGGAAGCCTTAAGGAAACCCATCAATACTAAAATGTCATCCCACCAAAGAATACAATATAATGGTATGCTGTTTTCCACAGAAGTGGATGGATTTAATGTAAATATTGTAATGATGTCACCATGAAATGCAATTTCTGAATTAATCATAGGGCAACTGACATTAAGGTAGTTTCAAGTAATAGCATATATGTGTGTGCACGTGCACCCATGTGCACATAGGCAGACATGCACGCATGCACACACACACACACACACACAGAAAGAGAGAGAGAGAGAGAGAGAGAGAGCACCATGGAACTCCACAGTCCTCAATTTACCCAATACTCAATATAATGCTTTTTCATGCTTGATCTTCCTTCCTTCCTTCCTTCCTTCCTTCCTTCCTTCCTTCCTTCCTTCCTTCCTTCCTTCCTTCCTTCCTTCCTTCCTTCCTTGCATTATCTTTCTTCTGGATGAATCGGGGGGGAGGGGTACACTAGCTCAGAATTTTGACATGTTCTTTATTTTTCCAGCATATTATGAATTATTTTCCAATGAAAGCTCACCAGCTGCCAACATTTTAAAACAATTGTTTTTGCTGCAGAGTACTGAAATCAGCTACAGCCTTTCCTGGAACTGGAAATTTTCTTTGACTTAAAAAATGATATCAAGAGCTGGTGGACTCTTTGAAAACATCCATTATATGAATCCTGCACTGAATGAGATATTAAGAAGGAACATTTCAAGTTTGTGTATTTATTAATCAAATATATATATATAGCCATTCTTCTAACAAAAATGGACTTGGAGCAGCATACAATAATCAAGTTTCTGTGGGTCATCTAACTTACAACTCTTGATTCTCTATCACGGTGATACATTTAATACAAACATAGCAGATGAATAAATAGTAAACTAGAGACAAAATTAACTAGACCAGGGGTGAAAATATGGTGATGGCAGGCACTAATAATGTTTCTATATCCGCTTTCTATGGTATCAACCAAGCTCCTAGTCTAAAATTAAAATAATAGAATAAAATAAAATAAAATAAGCTGGCATTTTGTGAAACAAAACCAAACAGGTGTTGACATCGTGTTTATTTACAAGTCTTTCTTAGAATAAAATAGTAAACTAGAGACAAAATTAACTAAACTAGGGGTGAAAATATGGTGATGGCAGGCACTAATAATGTTTCTATACCCGCTTTCTATGGTATCAACCAAGCTCCTAGTCTAAAATTAAAATAATAAAATAAAATAAAATTTATTTATTTATTTATGAGACTTATATACCGCTTTAAGTGCAAGCACTCTCTAAGCGGTGTACACCAGTAAGCAATGTATATATATATTTAATTGCCCCCAACAATCTGGGTCCTCATTTTACCTACCTCGGAAGGATGGAAGGCTGAGTCAACCTTGAGCCGGTGAGATTTGAACCGCTGACCTGCTGAACACAGTCAGCTAAAGTGGCCTGCAGTACTGCACTCTAACTGCTGCGCCACCTCGGCTCTTATAAATAAATAAAATAATAAAATAAAATAATAATAAAATAAAATAAAATAAGCTGGCATTTTGTGAAACAAAACCAAACAGGTGTTGACATCGTGTTTACTTACTTACAAGTCTTTCTTAGAAATAAAAATGGGTGGGTGGCTGCAGCCCAGGGCTTTGTTTGGATATGGGCCCACTTCCCTGCCACAAAACTAAAGGTATAATTACAGATGATTGTTTCACTTTGCCATCTGGTGAATAGACGTTACTCCCTAGCCAGGCAACCATGGCAGAAATTCAATGTCCAGAAATGGCCCTGCTCTCTAAAGACCAGAAGGGCTTCCCATCGGAAAAAGCTGTCTTAGGTCAAGCCTGTTTCAGAACTGAACTGTGTGTAGATATGAATAGGAGTGAGCAAGCTGAGTGAGGAAAAAGAATGCACTGTACTCCTTACAAAGAGAGACATCAAGACAAAGAATGCAATGTAATTTTGAAATGACTAAGAAGCAAAGGCAAATGCTGATAGATAAGGTGCTCCTAGCCTTTAACACATAGATATCACTAGGCGGCACTAGATCTAAGCCTAAGGCAGAAATCCAAAGCCTCATTAATTGAGAGTAACTACCTGGGAGTTCCGTCTTCACCTTCAGCATTCCATTAATCCCTGCCACTGACTGGATTCACACTTCACATTATGCAAGAATGTGATTTAACTGTTTTCAGTTAGGGCATTGTAGGAATTCACCCATTGTAGCTTATAAACAATGACTTAGATCTTGCACAAGGTAATAATGTAGCACTTTCATTGCTTCACCTGAGTTGGATGAAAAAGAGCAGGTTATTGCATGTTTTCTTATATGAGTAGTGATAAAAATAACAAAGAAATAGAGCAGGATGCCATTCATGTATTGATTAATGCAGTGATGGCGAACCTTTTAGAGACCAAGTGCCCAAAAATCGCCTCGCCCCTGCCCCGCTCCTGCCTCTCCTGCTTGTAGGGCCACCCACCACCTCCACGGCCCACCACAGCAGATTGCCCAGGCAGCTCAGTGTTGTGGCAGCCATGCCCTCTGTCCGCACCTTGCAGCATCTGTACACGATGGGGCATGAGGGCGGAGTTTTGTCCCCGCTGCTCAGCTGCCATGTCCTTGGCTGCGCTGCTCCGCACAGGCTGCGCCCAGGGCGACTCTTCTCTGGGGGAGCTGCTGGTGAGGAGGGGGCCATGGGGGTGGTGGGGCTGGGGCAATGGCGTGCATGCTCATAGAGAGGTCTCTGAGTGCCGCCTCTGGCACCCGTGCCATAGGTTCGCCACCACTGGATTAATGGGTGTTTCTTCTCGCTGGTTGTTCATAGTAAACATAGTGCCATCTTCTATTCTGACATCATCCTTCCAGGGAACTATGGCAATGTCTTTAAAAGAGATTGGGTCTCCCAAATAGAGACATCTTTTTTGACACTATTGGAGAGGCACTAGACCACTGAGTTTTTCTTAGCCATGAGGAATGGGGTAGTTAGCTCCAACTGGAAGCTCAGAACAATTTTCTATGACTATCATTAAAAGTGTGACATGGCATGAGTCAGCCCTATCATATGCTGGCCTAACATCCTGACCCATCTACTCAACATTAGCCTAGGGATTAATCTCATCCATTCCGCAGATGAACAAGGCACCTTATAAAACCTGGAGAGAGACGGACAGAAACGATGGGAGTTTGGTTTGCTGTCTTTTCCTGAAAGTTTCATAAGTAGAAGGCAAGAGCTCTTCCTAAAAATTAATATTGAGCTAGTCTTTCTAACTTCCAAATCAAGCCAAAAAAGCAAGAGGAAGATGCCCACTGGACTTTGGTTCAAGTGGTAAGCTTCACTAAAAGACCAGGAGAGTTAACAAAAGCTTTTGTCATCAAAGTGCACTTGGAGGATGACTAAAGGGGCTACAAATGCTTCCAATGAACAAGACCCCGGGGTCCTCAAAGCTAACCATATCAGTTGCTGTCGTGTGCTCTTCCTCTGATTGTCTGACCTTTCCCCCTTCAATGTTGTCCCTTCCCTTCCTCCTTCTATAAGGACTGAAAGTGATTGGGTACCTCTTGTTATTTTCCCTGTCTTTCCGCATTGGGGTAAAGGAACTTGGATAATGTGCTAATTGTACTCGATGATATATATATGCCGTGACACTAATTGTTTCCAGTACAAGGGGTCAATAGATTGTAAATGGCCAGCTGGAAGAAGAAGGACACTTCTAAAGAAGGGGAAGTCACTTCTGTTAATTAAGCAGAATTGAATAGATGGACACTTCCATAGCAGATAGGATTAGAAATTATCTGTAATGGATAACCATCCAAGGCTGGGCTGGAAGGGATAAGGTGGGGAGTTGCACTGAACACACAGAGATGCAAGGCTTTTTTCCATAAAGGAGAGAGTTGAAATCTCACATTCCACTTATTTTCTTTTTGGTCACCAAAGGGCAAAAGTGTACTTATGAGCACAATTTGCTTAAGGGTACTTGTAAATTTTTTTAGATCAATACATACTTTAAATTTCAAATATCAACACATCTATTGTACTCAAATCTAATCTTTACAGAATTTTGACTTTTTGTTGCAATGTATAATGAATGCAAATGTTGCTGCTTTTGTCTATTTATTATAAGAAATAAAGACCCAACCATGATTTAAGGTTAAGATGAACCAGTTATTGAAGCATATTCCATAAAACATGTTAGCCCAAGGTATGAATACAATCTCAGTTTCATCTGGCTCTCAATTTTTCCAATTCCTGCTATAGGCCAACTGACAATTTGCTCGACAAAAGGAATATTTACAATTCATCTTAAAATCCCACTGTTATCTGTAGGGAATTGAACACATCTCTAGGAGATGATTCAGGATTAATTCCCTCATCAATTTTTCTGGTTGGTTTGCTTTGTTTTTAGCCTGGTCTGATTTTTAACATATAGTCCAATTCTTAATGAAAATTGCGAGTCTGGGTTCCTGCTTGTTATACCTACATATATTGACTGCATGCAAATATCAGACAATGCCATGCTTTATTTAAGAATGGCTTAATGAAATACAACAATGGCTAGTTCACAGAACAAACCACAAGAGCAGGGTTATTTGGCAAATTGTACAGTGTGTGTTTCCAGTCATTATCTGATTTCACAGATCTGATTTCCTTGGATCCAGTACATACTGTGATATTGGAAGAGTTTGCATTATTATTGCTGCAGCACAAAAAGTAGGTAAGCAGAGATTATACTGGACAATGAGAAATAGATTGGCACAAAGTTTTACCTCATAAGGATGGTATTCCCATGGCATAATCTGCTAGGACCCCAAGCCGGAAAAGCAAAAGCAACTGTTCTCTTATTCTCAGCCTTTAGTTTTAACTCTTCCAACCAGCAGCAGATTGCAAAGAAAGCACTGAATGACTCTCAACCATAGAAATGAGCAGAAGGTTAAGTAAAATTAAATCAATGCTGCATGTGATCTTAGGTTAGGGCAACCCCTTGACCCAAGGAACTGTTTATTAAGAACTTACATGCTTGGAATCTGCTGTAGATATTGAATACCGTACAAACTGCTGGAAATGATCTATATCTATGCTGTAGCTATCTAAAAAACTAAATGCTCCAAATTTGTGCTTGTTGAAAAAAACCTATATGTGATCAAGAACTCATGCAGCACAGAGACAAATGTTATTATTTTAGGTCTATAAATTACTGTACATTGTGATGAAAGGCACAGATATAATAGCTGATAAAGAAATGCTGGCTTCTGATGTTTCCTGCACTAAAGGCAACCATATTCCATTTGGCATGCACGTATTCAAAAAAGGACACTTTGTTGTTTGTATAGTCCAGAGTATACACAGCTCTGGGTTTATAACTGTGAAAGGGAGCTTTAATAGAGTTCCTTAAGCAGTACCTCTTTGTTCCTAGGTGATACAAAAAGTCCAGGAATGAAAATGCCTGGGGTTTAGGGATAAAAAAGCAATCACATCCATATACCCTAAATCTGTTAGTACTCAACATAACAGTAATGTGGCATTAGTTGGAAAGAGAGAATCTTGTATCCCTAGCAACAAACAGAAGGGAGTTTGTGGAAAGCAAATAGATTCAGAGCCTCTGTAATAGATGCACCTTCTTTGTGCAATAAATCACCTCTGGAAAGATTCTTAATTCATCCCTGTTCAGGGTCTGCAGCAATTTCAGAACTGATTTTTCAAAGATCCAGTAATAGCTGAAGGTGCTCCCTTAAGCACGCTTGCTGTATGGAGTGAAATTCCAAGGAATTTTCAGTGGAATAAAGATCCTGAGTCATTGGACTGAAAATATGCCCAACAAGGACTTTTAATGAAACGTCCTGCTTTGAAATCTGTTAGTTTCAACCTTGTTCTATGTGTATCAACTCAAGAAACAAATGTGATTGAGTTTAATTGGTTTTCTTTCTTGGGGAGTTTTGGACTGCAATATTCTATGGAGTAGCTTGTAAACTAGAACTCAAAAGAAGATTGAACTGGTTGGATTGAAACAAGTAAGCAAATCCTAGTTTGTTAAAGGGCAATTGGTGAATTCCCACAATATTCTGTGACCTAATAAATATATTGTGGATTAAAGTGATGGCCGAATTCACACAGCTTGCTAAAACTCAAGCTACAAGATCTCATTGTAGACTGGACTAACACATTTTGCAAACCCAGAATATGAATCCTGGATGAGAAAGCATAGAAAGAAAGAGATCAGGAATCTTTGCACTGCAAAGTTGAGTGGTCCTGGGGGGGGGGGGGGAAGGCTTCTGAGACCATTGCCCTTTCACAATCACAGTAAACTATGGTTTGCTTAATTATATCCTGCTGAATAAGTCGAAATATGCTCAGTGTAGCTGTTATGCTTATACGTAGACCAGATCAAAGCATAGGTTCACCACAGCATACAAACCAACATGGAGCTTGCTTGGTTCTGCCTTAGCCTCTAGTCTAGTCACTGCATCTTGAAAACTGTAGTTTTATTTCTGACTCAAGGGGAAGAGCCAAGAGCTTAGTTTCATTCTGTTTTACCTGTTTGGCTTTTCTGATCTCTGCCCGCATAGCCCAATTGGGGGAGCCTGGGGTGCTGGAATTAAAGCGGTTGCTTTGTTGATTGGCTAATTGGTTGGTGAGTCGGTTCTTCCTTCCACCCCGCTGCGACTTGGGCTGCTAGTAAGACAATGCTGACTTTTGAACCTCTAACCACTAAACAAACAGACCTTGCGCTCTGTTCCACAATCCAAATATGCATTATTGACCTCCGTTCCCTAGCAACGGAGGAATCTGGGGTTTCCTCCATTGTCTGCCTGGCAGCCGGGGTTCGGGTGTGGAGAGGGCTCTCAGTGCTGCTGGGCAAGATGGATCTTTCTGGGAAAGCATGCCCACTGCTGGACTGCTTGCCCTCCGCGTCCTTCCAGCTATTAGTTTATGGTTAATCGCTTCTTAAAGAGGAACCGGGCTCCAGGCTGCCCGGAGGGATGAGGGTGGGGAGGAGGAGATGGAATGTTTGTCGATTGTTTCTTACTGAGTCGTCCTGGATTCCGTGGATTGGCCTTCCCTCCATAAGGAAGAGGTGAGACTCGTTGGAGGGCAGTTAGGTTATCGGGTGGAGCAAGTTCAGCTCGCTGGTTAGCGAGCAAGCGCACCAGGTCTCTCCATCAGGTGCACTAAAAGAGAGAATGCCCACAGTTGTGAGCCCTTTGGCCCCTTCGAATAAAAACATGATCTAAACCAAGGGTAGGCAACCTTGGCTCTTTTATGACTCGTGGACTTCAACTCCCAGAATTCCTGAGCCAGCATAGCTAGCTCAGGAATTCTGGGAGTTGAAGTCCACGAGTCATAAAAGAGCCAAGGTTGCCTACCCCTGATCTAAACCTACTTAAAAAATAATGCCGTGACCTGTACCCCAATTGTTGTATTACTAAGAGAAACAACTTCTCCAGCGGTGTTTTTCCTTTCCAAACTGCCCTTCTCCCCCACCCCACCCCAGAGATCTCTTTGCAATATTGTAATATCACAAAGCTATCTTTGAATGCATTCCATGTGTGGCACATCTGGACAACATTCATGTAAGGAGATGTTGATGAATACAAGTTTGCACAACCTGACTGTACAAATTTATCTGCTGTCGGTCAAAATAACTGGGCATCATCCACTAGTGGTAGATAAAAGAGGGTCAAGGGCCAAGGGTCATATATTTGCTGCCTAAAAAAAGCAGGTTAAGCCCAAATAATGAAGATATGGGCAGATCCCTGTCACTTTTTTCTTGGATCAGCTGGATCAGTTGATGGAGAAGCAGTTCAACTTTTCTGAATTTCAAAATTCTGCTTGGGGAAAAAAAAAAGTAGACTGGACTTCAATTCCTAGTTTAGCCCTAGAATGGCCAATGTTACCATTCAGAAGAAGCAGTTCTTTATTCAGGCATCACAGTACAGATAGTCCTTGATTTACGACCACAATTGAGCCCAAAATTTCTATTGCTAAGTGAGACATTTGTTAAGTGAGTTTTGCCCCATTTCACAACCTTTTTTGCCACAGTTGTTAAGTGAATCACTGCAGTTGATAAGTTAGTAACCTAGTTGTTAAATGAATCTGGCTTCCCCATTGACTTTGCTTGTCAGATGATCTCAAAAGGTGATCACATTACCTTGGGACACGGCAATAGTTATAAATAGTCACATGTCATAAATAGACTTTGGGACACAGCAATAGTCACATTTTTCACTGTACTTTGAACAGTCACTTAGCGAACTGTTGTAAGTCAGGGACTACTTGTATTACATCTTTAATCAGGCTGCAGATCTGTGGGTAGCAAAAATTCATATGATCAGGATACAGAAGATGCTCTGGACTTTTGTAGCCTACCTCTTTAACACATTATGTTCCTCTTTCTTTTCTTTCTTTCTTTCTTTCTTTCTTTCTTTCTTTCTTTCTTTCTTTCTTTCTTTCTTTCTTTCTTTCTTCTTTTTCTTTAATTTCTTTCTTTAATTTCTCTTTCTTTTTTTCTTTCTTTCTTTCTTTCTTTCTTTCTTTCTTTCTTTCTTTCTTTCTTTCTTTCTTTCTTTCTTTCTTTCTTTCTTTCTTTCTTCTTTCTTTCTTTCCAGAAAAGACTTGCAGCATATTCTGCCTCAGCTACTTTTGGAATACTCTATGCAGGCACAGAAACCCCTTTGACACGAGGCTCTTCCCAATCTCCTCACCAGAAGCTGAGACCACAGGGCTTCAAGACTTTGCTCAGATAAAGGTGCTGCTACCTTGAATCTTTATTGAAGGAAAATGTCCCTTCCATGTTTTTCACAACCGTAATTCAATGTAGCATTTGAGTAAATATCTCTCTGGTGAAAGGAGGATTAGGCTTCCTTCATGCAAAGATATAAATAATCAGAAAATGCAATTCTATTAGAGGAAGATCTATCAGCATTTAAATCTTGAGACAATTAATTAACAATATGAATTTTTAAAACAGTCAGGATATATCTCTCTTAAAAAATCCAGTAATAAATAGATTTATTAGCTAGTCGTCTGTCTGACTTTCTCCCCTGAAAATGTTAATTCTGAGCTAATGAAAGGACTCTACAATTTCGTATTATTTCAGTCACTACCCTTATTGCTGTTGTTAGAAAATATTTATTCAAATAAAAACATTCTCATTTTGTGTCTAACGGTTTTGATTATGACAGTGTATGCATTGATTTGCTTGTGCGTTTTTAATATTACCTTATTCTCCATCATACTTCAGGATTCCTGTTTTTCTTCAAAGATTATAGCTATGACTACTGATGAAAATAATAAACTCTTTCAGGAATACCAACATAATAAAGTTAGGTTACTGTCCAAGAGAGAAAATCCCTATTTGATTAGCGGTAATATTTTTAAACTGCATGATTTGGATACAGTCTGAGGGATGTCAAGTATCTGAATCCACTTTAGATGGAGAAAGTAGCAGTGTGATTTTAATTCTGAATAGCCAGATTTCCTTGAATGAATGTTCACAGAATCATGCTGTTGATGTGTTCAAAAGAAAAAGGAAGCAAGTATGGATGTTTACACACTTAAACTCATTTCCAATTGTTTAAACAGCTGGAATTTGGGGGTCTCACTAGAAAGAATTTAACCAAGAGAAGTTAGATGGTTCCTCACAACATCTAAATCTCAGACTTGTGAGGAAGAGGTTTTGCAATAAACTGATACCTTAAAGCTAGAAATGATTTCCACTGAAATCATTGAAGCTGGTTTCTATTTGGGATGTAGACAGGTCTTATTCCAAGATCTTAACATATTTTCCTCCTTTCTACCATTCACAACATTTCAAAAAGTATTTCCTTTTTTTCTCCTCCACTGTGGAGCTTTCCTTCTAAGCTCCATCCGTTTTTCTCTAAAGCAGATTTCCAATATGGGAAGTCTTTCTCAGTTCTTAAGGCTGTTTTCTGAAAGTTGTTCGAACTTTCAAAGGGACTAGTATCTAAATACCAATGAGCTATATCTCTGAAATTGCACAGGTGCCCAAGAGGCTACATGTGTTTGGCAGCCCTGATCTGGTAGCCCAAATAAAGAGTCTTGATGAAAGGAAAAATTCCAAGCACTTGTGATTTTTCTTGGAAATCAATGAAAACATCTCACAGGATGTATGATAGATTCCATAATGCTTTGACCATAGATGGGACAAGTTGCTATTAGTAGATCCGTCTGTTTATCCATCTGTTCATAAATCCAATCATATTAAGTAAACCAAGCAATACAGCATACAGGTTCTCAGCCGTGCCCATCTGAGGCTTCATGTGAAATTCTGAGTTGGATGGAATCCAGGACTATGGTTCCATAGCTTACATCCCATTGAAATGAATGGATGTGAGCAAAAAGGGCACAGCTTCATTTCCATAAAGTTGGCTTCAGCTCAAAGCAGTTTTCCTGGATTGTTTGTGCTTTTCACAGCATGAATTCTACATGTTTTATTTGAAAGTCAGATCAAACATGTAAAATTAGAGCACATCATTCTAGCTCTAAACGTAAGAGTGCTTGCATATGTATTCAATACATAAATTATTTCATTATTATTAATTTACATGGCTCAGATCATTTTTTTTTTTTTTTTAGGAAATCTATTTTCAAGTAAATGGATGACAATCAAGGCTAGTGGACTCTGCTGCACTTTCTTTGACCTCTCAGCTCCCAAATGACCCCCCCAAAGATGCGAGTCAGCAGATGTGGGGATGAATGGAGAAAAGAGAAATCAATATCATTGGCAGATGCCAGTTGGCCAGCATGGGTACTCGTGGATACAAATTCACATGTCATTGATTATAGCTTTTTGAGTTTGGTCCTGCCCATTCCAAAATGGACAGACTTTTGCAGAAACTGGCATTAAAAGTTAGGCTGCAAATGTTCATAGGTCCCACTCTAGAAGCCCTGTACAATGATCAAAAACTTGCGTTTATTCTTATAAATGATGTTTTTTCTTATTAGAATAAACAGAGTTCCATTCCAAATTTGGATTAAGGATTGGGATGCTATATGCCCCAGTCAGGATTCTCTAATTATGTTGGATTTTAATAACCTTGCAGCCAGCAGTGCCAGATCCAAGAAATCTAGTTTCCTCATTTGCAACTTAAATCAGTTCCAGAATGACCTAGTAGTAACCCTAGTACTCCCCCTTCTTGAGCACATCAGCTTTCTTTGCTCAAGCCCATATGTCACAAAATCTGCTAATCGTTCAGTAACAAAACTAGCTTCGGCTGTGTCATCCATCACTGAATCGAAGTGTGTAGATGTTGTTCTCCCTCCTCGATATCTGGGAAGGCAAGTTGATGTAAGAAGCTAGGCTTCAACAGCTACTGGATTATTTTGGGAAGAGCTGCCTGTATCTTAGGAGGCGGTAGATAATATATTTCAACAGCCAATTGGTGTCCTCAAAATATTTACCCCATCACTCAAATACAGACATTATATTTGTTAAGCAGCCAAGGCAGCAACAGTGATAGGATAACAAAGATTAAAGGATGCTCGTGATCACAAGTAAGGCTCAGTGCGAAGCTGATTACCTTAAAAATATTCTCTACTGAAAAAAGAAGTCCTCATAAAAACATATTTTTTTATGTCCATAGTGTGTGCTTACACCAGAGATAAAGAGATGCCAGGCAGCAGGTAGGAATCTGGACATAATATCACCATTGCTTGTTTATATGCTTGTTTTCAATAAATTACCATCCAATGACTTGCTTCAGAGCATCTCAGCAGCTTCCTTCTTTTATGTTCTTCTGCCAGTTGGGAGGTGAATGATTCTCCTTTTCAGTTTGTTTAGGATACCAGAAAAACAAAGTAAAATCTGGTTTAATTTCTTCTTTTTCCCCATTAACATTTATCATGAACCCAACACATTGGTAATTAAAAAACAAAACAAAACAAAAACAGGAATAACAAGCAGGCATTCCAGGCCCAATTCCCTGAGAAAAGTTGTTTTCCATTCCAGAGTTAAGTGTCAGTTATGTGATATCTATGGCAACATCCAGGTCAAGAATGAAACAAATTAAGGAAAATCAACTCCCTTCCTTCCCCTGTCCCATCTGAACTTGGTTGGCTTACAGTATATTTTGTAAAAATGGGCAGGAAATCCCAAAGTGTGAAGCTGGCTGTTCAGTGCAGTCCATCCTAGTTGCAGGATATGGAGAGTCACCACTTGCCTCGTCGGTTTCACTCTTGGACTAGTGGTTTTCTTCCTCCTAGGCTGGCTGGTGTGTGGCCGGCAGTCTCTTCTTCTTTTTCTGTATGGAATGCAGAAACTCTTCCGCTGCTCAGTCTTTCCTTGTAACTGCTGTTACTGTGCAACAGTTGGGGTCAAGCCAGTAGCACCCAACACGCCTCCACTGGGAACAGAGCCAGGTGTCCCTGCCTGCATGGAGGAGACAGGACTCATGGGTTCAGATCCACTGTGCACTCCCCCAAGCTGAGATTGCTGTAACTTTTTCTTGTTGATCTTCCTTTCTTTTGCCCGCCTATTTTGAAACCAGATTTTCACCTAGGGAAGGAAGACAGAGTTAGTGTTAATCATAGAGAGCTGAATATTTTCAGCTTCACAGTCCAGCTTACAACCATGAGTTCCTGATGTCTCCCAACCAAGTATTAACTAGGCCAGGGGTAGGCAACCTTGGCTCTTTTATGACTCATGGACTTCAATTCCCAGAATTCCTGTGCCAGCTATGCTCATGAAGTCCACGAGTCATAAAAGAGCCAAGGTTGCCTACCCCTGAACTAGGCCCAGGCAAGGTCAGGGAGATGCCACCAACTCTCAGGGCAGAGATTTATGTCCACTTCAGCTAATACTGCTTTGGATGGATTGTACTCATGTCTGTGAGTCTGGGCACAATGATGAGCTTTATCCATAATACTCCTATGCAAATTTACCTATAGAGTACAACAGGATTTTCTCCGAGTAAATATACAGAAGAGATTGGATTAGAAAAGCAAAGTTCTCCCTCCTACCCTTTTTTTTAGTGGAGATTTGGAGACAGAGGATAAACTTGTAATAAATTCCTGAGAATCTAAGCAGAAAGATCATTTATTTTTAGAAGGAAGGAGAAGGCCATCTTGTTTTCTTACAGGGAAGAAATTTATCCCTTTTGTTGTAAAATTAGAATACGAATTTTGTCTATTCTCTCAATCTGGCTAGCCTTAAGACAGTGTTTTTCAACCCCTGGCAGTTTTGAAATGCATGGATTTCAACTCCCAGAATTCCTAGCCAGCATGCTGGGGGATAGGGCTTTAATCAAATGTTCTAAGCTAAGGAACAGACTACTAGAAACTCAGAACTAAATGTTAGATGATGTATGATAACATCATCTTTAAAAAAATAGATAATAAATTGAGTGTTTTACACCAGAATCTGGGGATGTTGATCAAAGCAATGTAACTAATAGTAAATTATGCTTTTGTTCCATGCAGCATACTACTGTCCCATATATGATACTCCAAGATTACAGACAGGAACTCAGAACCTGAGCATTTCTCCATACAAAGCCTGCTTTTTAGCACTGAACTATGACTCTCCCTAGTTAAGCATTGCCAGATATAACTCAAGATACTGAGAATGTAAATGCAGCCTGTATGTGCATTTTTATAAGATTCAGTGCTATCAATCCAGTGAAGCTTGCTTCAGAACAATTATACATCACATAATTAGAATGCCTATGCGATCGAGATCTTAATTGTGAAGCTAAATGATTTACAAATCACAAACCTTACCACACAATTCTCTAGAACAAATAGTGCATGAGTTATCTGTGACTGCCTAAACAGGTGATTTTGAAACATACAGTAGGCTTCGTCTACCTATGACAGTAGACAGCATTTTGACAAACTTCAGCATGACCAAAAAAGGAATATGGTACCCCCCACCCCAATGTTTTTATATCATCGGCATATTCCAAAAAAAGCACCATGTTATACCTAAATATCCTGCTTACTGTCCTTCAACCAAAGCTGGGTTTCAAGCTCTACACTACTACAAAACAGATCAAAATGCTTCCAGGATCCACTGACATACGAAATATTTTTTTGTCCAGTCTTCAACTATATTAATGCCAACATCTAATAGGGACAAGGACTTTTCTTATTTGTGGGGAAAACTTCTGTAGGTTTAAGACTGAAAATAGTGTGCATTGCACATTTAATTTGCATTTAGAAAGGTTTCTTTACAGTGGTGATTTTATCAGAGTAGAAAGCTGGGGCCTTTTTGTGTTTTTCAGAGCAAGAGGAGAAAAAGGAAAGTAAAGACAGTTAAAATGAATTTTATTGGGGGAAAGTGTTTATTTCCCAAATTCAACAGTAGTAACAGCAAAATCTAAGGCACATTAGAGACTGGGGTTTTTTTAATACTCACCAAAACACCTGCGGGGGGGGGGGTGAGGGAAAGCAAAGCTACTAGTCATGTGGGAGCTGACTCAGAACAAATGCACCTCCAGGAATGCCAAGGACACCGGGAACAGGGGTGGTGCTCAGAAGTTAGAAATACAAGTCTATTGGACTTTGAAAATGAAGGGGTATGTGTGTGTGTGTGTGTGTTTTGCAATAACAACTAAGCAAGCAAAGGGTATGCTAAGATGTCTTCACTGATAACTAAGGAGATAAACAAAATCTGGCAGTGTTGGTATATAAAGGTGGTCAATAACCGGCTTTGTACAATAGATGCACTTGGACACTTGGATTTAAATTCAAATCTAAATGCAAACATTTAGGCATGCCTAGATTCCATGGAGATCAAAGAAACCTTAAACCCATCCCATTCAGTAAGATCTTTCCTCACGATATTTAGCACCTGGGGGCATTCAGAATATTTTGCATGTATTTTTTTAAAATGACCCTGCATTTTTTCCTCCCATTTGCACCCCTGTTACAGATGGGAGGATCAGAGGGATAACAGCTTAGCCCACACTGTAATGGGAAATGTGGAAATTGAACTAGAAATATTCTGGCTTACTGCTTATATACTTTTAAATTATTACACTAACTGGTATCATACACCGAGGACTTTTGCTATAATATGGAAGCAAATGCCTCTTCTGGTAATATACAGAGGGTAACTTCATGGCCCTGAGTTCATAGAACCAATCCTGACTCTTCTGAGATGACAGGAAAAGCACCCAAGAGTAGAGATCTTTGCATGAAATGAGGAAGAAGGACAGACACAATATGTAAAAATGTTATGTGTTTTTAGATTGCCCATGGTGTACTTAAGTTTTAATCCATGCAGGTTTTTTAAGTTTGTTTAAATTCAAGTGTTTAATGGCATCAATAGGAAATAGATAAAAACTACAAGGCACAATCTAGTTGCAAGCAAAGTGAAGAGAATTCCTAAACTGATATATATGTATGTATGTATGCATGCATGCATGCATGTATGTATGTATTATGCTGTCCTCACCAATAAGATGACTCCGGAAGGCTTACGAACAGGTAAATATAGAAACAATTAAAATTACAAGTATAATTATGCTATATAAAAACTACACACATCTTTATATAATCATCTGGCAATGAGATGGGTCGCATATGAATTTAATAAAATAAATAAAACAATACAGTATATGCCAGTCTTCAATCCATGTATTTTGATGCTGCAGATAAAAAAGACACAAGCAAGCATGGTGCATTTACTATATGCACATTTTCTATATTTAGTTCCTATGTTTGGAAAGCAAAGATACTTTGATTTGGGTGGAACTCACAGGTTTTTGTTTGCTCATCCTTTTTCAGGAATACCAATATCATCAATATCAACGTCCTGATGCAGCAAAGAATGACACAATTGGATAGGTGCTACACAACAACACTGAAGAAAGAAATTTAACAGAGTGTGCATCCTATTGCACATTATCCTTAATTTCATATGCTACTAAAATAATGTTTAGGATCAACCAAGAAAACCCTACATGTAAAGAGAAATGACAGATGTTCAAGCTGGCTTTAAAAGGCAAGAAATGAGAGATGCTGTTGCTGATGCAAGTTGTATCACTGAGAAAGCCAAACAATATAAAAATGAAACTGCCATGTTCTTTACTAACTTTAGAAAGGCCCTTGATTGCTTTGACCACGTCAAGCTGTAAAATAACCATAAGGAAATTAGGAATCCCAGAACATATCATTGTCCTTATGTAAAACCTATCCACAGGAAAAGAAGCCATGGCCCGGACAGAAGAAAGTAAAATAATCCGGCTCTAGGTAAACAAGGTACAAGTAGTCCTCGACTTACGACCACAATCAAGCCCAAAATTTCTGTTGCTAAGTGAGACATTTGTTAAGGGTTTTGCCCCATATTACCTTTCTTGCCATTGTTGTTAAGTGAATCATCACAGTTGCTAAGTTAGTAACATGGTTGTTAAGTGAGTCTGGTTTCCCCATTGACTTTTTCTTGTCAGAAGGTGGCAAAAGGTGATCACATGACCCCAGGACTCTGTAACTCCCATATATATGAGTCATTTGCCAAGCATCTGAATTTTGATAACATGACCCTGAGGATGCAAGAGTAATCTTCACTATGCAGAATCACTGAAACCGTAAATGATCTGCAACAGGGATGTCAAACTGCCAGCCCATGGGCCGGATGCATCATACTGAAACCACGCCCGCCCCATTGCTGGCAATGGGAAAAAAAAGTCATGATACATCGCGACACATCACGTGATATTGCAAGTTTGACGCCCATGATTTTCAAGCTCTAGTAATGAAAGCCAAGAGGTGCAGCAAAAAAATGAGAGTAAAATTAAATAGAATGATAGATCAAGCTAATGACTAAAGCAGGGGTAGGCAACCTTGGCTCTTTTATGACTCCTGGACTTCAACTCCCAGAATTCCTGAGCCAGCCATGCTGGCTCTGGAATTCTGGGAGTTAAAGTCCACGAGTTATAAAAGAGCCAAGGCTGCCTATCCCTGGACTAAAGGAACAACAACCAACTGGCAATGAAGATAGTGAAATGGTAGATAGATTCTGCATTTTAAAATCAACTATTAACAGCAAAATAACTAGCATTCAAAAATACTTCAGAGACAAGAATTTGCAGAGTAAAGTTATCCTAGAAAAGGTATTCAGACACCATGATGCCTATAAACATCAGAATCCTGCAACATTTTTCTTTATGGTGCTCAATGGAAACCAAAGCTGGAGTTGGAAGACAGGAAGTATTGGCACTTTTGAACACTGATGTTGAGAATACTCTTGAGAATATCATGGATAGCCAAGAAACAAACAAGTGGATCATAGAACAAATCATTCCAAAGTGTTCACTCAAATATCACTTGGCAAATGACCCGGTCTCTTATTATATTATAACCGAGGCACTCCCTTGAGAAGTCTATAAGGCATGCTGGGAAAGGAGAAAGGAAAGAGAAGAAGAGGATGATCAGCAGCAAGGTGGATGACTCAGTTACAGTGCTGATTGATACAGTATTGGAAGACCTGAAGGAGCAGATGGGGAGAGTTAATCCTGGAGAAGATCCATGTACTGTAAGTTAAGAATCAATACCAACGTGATGACAGATCATCCATCCATCCATCCATCCATCCATCCATCCATCCATCCACCCACCGATAGCAGGTTTTATTAAACTTCCTATATCTTCTGCTTGGGTCATAATTCAAGTCTTAGTATAAGCTGAAGAAAACCTACTTAATACAAAGAAATTATTCCCTAGTAAAAACAAAGTAAAAAATAAAGGCTGAGACAATGACAATTATTACTGCTCTAAATTACAGGGATTTCTTCCCCTCTTTTTGATGTTATTCCCCTAAAACCACATCTGTTAAAAAGAAAGTGATAGTGCCAACAATGACTCTGAACTGATGAATAATTAATTCTGCATATATTTAAAGGGACATTTATATCAATTGTGTCCATTTGAATCAACCTGATAGTTGCAACAGATTCTGGGTTATGGCTTGCAAAGTTTTGATTAAAATATCTAATTCATTTATTGGTAAATTTCCTTATACATATATAAAAGTATAAAAGTTATAAATCTTTAAGCTCTTCAAATACCTGAAAAGCACCTACAGTTTGTTACAGTACCTTAAATCTTCCTCATGCTGTGTGCATTTAAATTTGATTCTCAGGTTGGCCCTACCTTTAGGTTGAGCAAGAGGGAGTAACTGGACAGCAGGCTATATGTAGCCCTTAGACCCCTCCATTTTTCTGTGGCTTCTAGATCTTGCCAATAACATTTAATGGCAAACCACAATCACAATGACATTTTTTCCAGTGGCTTTCATTTGTCAGCAAAAGAAATAAGTTGTACAAGCCATCAATATGGCTTAAGACATGTAAGTAAACTTTTAATCACTCCCTCTCCCAAAACATGCAGAAGCAAACAAAAGCAAAATGCTTTTGTGCATGTTTCCTGTTGTGCAGTACCATGGAATCACTCCCCACTTTGATCCTGGTTCACTAAAAAAAAAAGTACAAAAGTGGAAAAGTATAATTCCAGATATAGAAAAATCTCAGTGTTCTGAAGTACCGGTAGGTTGATAATCTTAGGTGAAAGATCTTTTGCAATTTCTCATGATTTATGTTCATAGTTAGCTTTTGGAAAACAGAATATTCTGCTTGGATACCAATAATCAGATGTCTGTGTACATAGCATTCTCGTCCTTATCATATGGATGCTAACAAGAATATTATGCAGCATACAAAACTAGAAAAAGAATGGACAAAATGCCAAAACTAAGAACATGCTAGCTGACAATGTTGATGAAAAAAAAATAACTGTGGGTATTTTCCAGAAATATTAGGTTCTCCCAATCTAAATTTGGTATCTGAATCCCTCTCCCAAATTGTGATATTTCAATGAGGGGATAAAGATATATCCCAATATTATAGTTTAGAAGTGAGAATATTTTCATAGCTGGAAGTTGCATGTAATATTTTTTGGTATGGGGGGGCAGGATGATGCAAATGAGAGTAGGGGCAAACATTTTGGGGGTATGGGAGTCTTTGAGGTGTATGGGAAGAAGGTTACAGTCCTCCCTCTTCTTTTCATTAGATTAAGATTATTTTGAAGTATGTTCTAAATTTGTTAATGTTGATCATGGCAGGAATTATGCTACCAATTTCCAGCATATGGTGATTGAAAGTGGCTTTAGGACCTACGCCAATGGAGCTTGGCAGTCCATTTTAGCCCATTCTCATTCCAGGTCAGGCGTAGGGGTGCAGCCAAACTTGCTAAATTGTATTGAGTGAAGTTAAGACTGAAAAGATCCAGGTACAAATCCTTAGCTATGAAACTGGATCAATTAGCTGTTCGGGAAAGTGCTGGATTAAGAGAGATGCATTAGATAAACTTGGTATTTTTATGAACTTTGGGGATTGTGGTAATGAAATGGGAACGTTTTACACACAGCCTTCACCTTATGGGCAGAGAGAGAATTTATGAGATAAATGGCCTCTTCATCATCTATCTTCACCTAGAAATTTAATACTACTTGTACTAACTCTGGCTGAAATTAGAGACAAAAAGAGATTTTCATGGTTAAAAAGCAGACTCTTTATAATGAAGCTTTGTGCCTGGTGACACGACTTTATGAGTAAATTAACATATTTTTCAGCACCTGGAGGCTACCAAGTCAGGAAAGCTGTTTAAAACCAAGCACTAGTTCATTGCACAATAAGCATCTCTTTTCCATTTAGAGGATGCCCAACAACTGCAACCAACAGTATAATCCTGGGTCTCTGACAAATATTTCTATGTGATAACCCTTTTTTATTTTACAAAAAGGACAGAAGCTGGGTAGCAGAGCACTTATTCTGCATAAGAAATGCATTCTTGAAATTTCCACTATAGGCTGGATAGAACTGGTTTCCCAAACTCTGGACAGCTGTCTATCATCCTACAGTGACTCTGAGTAAATTAAAGTGGTATTTTTTCCCATTCTTAAAACACCCTTTGTTTCATACTGAAAGGGACATTAATTTACATATTCTTAAAAGACGGGTGCCCTGTTTAATACAAACACTTTGGTGTATTATGTGTATTTATTACTGTAAACAAAAGTAAGATCAGGAATATTTACTGAAAGAAGGGAGGGAGGTTAAATACAGAGTGGGGAAGTTTGGAAACATTACACAGAGCAGTCTTACTTGTCTCTCTGACAATCCCAGTGTGGCTGCTAGCTCAGCTTTTCTCCGAATGGTGATGTAACGGCTATAGTGAAACTCCTTCTCCAACTCAAGTCGCTGGTGATCTGTGTAGACCACTCGGTACTTGTCTTTCGTCCTGGTTTTCACTGGGAAAAGAGACATAAGTGAGTTGAAGAAAGCTCATTGGCAGCATCATATTTAAATGCTCACTTCTGAAGTTATATAACCAGAGCTTAGGCTATACATAAAATGCCAACTAGCTTCCAGCAATGAAGAGTTTCTGAACACAGTGGGAAAAGAAGGAAATCTCCTTTAGAATATAATCAAATTCCAAATAAGATTTAGATCTTTCCTCTCAGTTTCCAAAATTCAGCTGCCAATTATTTTCACCACCTCCCACTCCAACAAGTTATGGAAGGATTCTCCTTTTCTTTTCTAGTTTAAACTTACTAAACCCTTAAATGTCTGTCTCAAAGAGGAAGTGATTTTCAAACAATGAGTGCTTGTAAAAAGAAAGCAGCTGCTGGATTTATGGCCACCAAACCAAACACATCCACATAAGCCAGTGTGTTGGAGGGTGGGTTGCACTTTGATTTGTGGGTGTATATTGTAACTGGGCCTGTTATGATCAGTGCTTAGAATTAAAAGCAATTTCTCCTTGAACATGTGCTTTAAAAAGCAGCTTTCTGTGTGGATGATATACACATTGCAGTCCTAATGAATATGCACTCTTAAGTAATTCTGAACGTAAGGTAAAAGACTTAAGTGCATGTTAGTTAATTTACAAGATACCTTTGAGACATTCCCTTGTATGCATAAGATCTGCTGAAATGAGTTGCATATGGGAGCTTGGCAATTAATTTCAACAGGGTTTGGGCACAATCCTGCTAAATTATATTTGTGGTGTAGAATATGTCAAGCAACTAGTACAACCATTCAAAATTGTATCAATTTACATTAACATTTTTTTTCAACTTAGAATGAAGATCTAAGCGATTCAGAAATATTTATTTCTAAGTCAAGTTAGTATTTGTATACATTTGTATTTCTTTGGGTGCAAGTTCTGATTTTCCACATAGAGAATGGTAACTTGGATTACCATATGCAGGTAAGCCTTTATTTATAATTGTTCATTTAGTGACAGTTCAAAGTTACAACGGCACTGAAAAAAGTGATATGACCATTTTTCACACTTAACGACTGTTGCAGCATCCCCATGGTCATATGATCAAAATTCAGATGCTTGGCAAGTGACTCATATTTATGGCAATTGCAGCATCCCAGGGTCACGTGATCACCTTTTGCAACCTTCTGACAAGCAAAGTCAATGGGGAAGCCAGATTCACTTTACAAACATGTTACTAAATATTAACAAATGCAATGATTCACTTAACAATTGTGACAAAAAAATCATAAAATGGGGCAAACTCATTTAACAAATGTTTCACTTAGCAACATAAATTTTGGGTTCAATTGTGGTCGTAACTCTAGGACTACCTGTATACATGGATAAACATGTTAGCCAAATAATCATCTTAAAAATAACCTTCAATCTGGAAACCTATGGGTTTGATTAGTTAACAAGCTATATGTTGACAACAGTCCAGCAACTCCAGTTAGATGAGAACACAGATGAGAAATTGTCAGCTTTGAACAAAGAATCTGTAAGCACATCATGCCAATTTGGAGGATAAAACATATGAAGAACGATTGCAGGAATTCAATATATCTAGTTTAATGAAAAGAAGGACTGGGGTGACATGAGAACAGTGTTCCAATATTTAAGGGGTTGCCACAAAGAAGAGGGGATCAATCTATTCTCCAAAGCACCTAAGGGCAGGACAAAAGGCAATGGATGGAAACTAATCAAGGAGAAAGCCAACCTAGAACTAAGCAGAAATTTCTTGACAGTTAGAACAAGTGGAATGACTTGTCTCCAGAAACTGTGGGTTCTCCAACACTGGAGATTTTTAAGAAGTGATACCATTTGTCTGAAATGGTACAGTATAGGGTTTCCTGCTTGAGCAGGGGGTTGGACTAGAAGATCTCCAAGGTCCCTTCCAACTGTTATTCTGTTATACTATTAATTCTTGAACAACTATACTAATTTTTGCTCCATTTCTTGGCACAAGTGCTGTTATGAATCTTTAAAGCTCTTTATAGTTTAGATCTAGGATATATGGGAATTTGAAAAACTCTCCACTTCTGTATTAATGTTGTCTATACACTGAAATCATTCCTGGTGATTTTTTGTTCCCCAGAGTAGATTAGAGCTCCCTGTTGGGGATGATATCCAGCTATCTGGGATTGTCTTGGAGTCACAATTTTCTTTAATCTTGAAGCAAAATGAATTTGCTTAACTCTGCAGTAATTCCTATTCTGTTTGTTTATTCTTACAGATGCTTGGATTAGCATTGAGCAGCAATAACATTTTGACATCAGATCCTGCCCCAAAGATTGTTCAGGTTGCCCAGAAAAAAATATTATTTGAAAGATATTTTCTAAGTATAATAGTAGTAGAAGAAACAATGATGAAATAAAATGATTGATGATGCTTCCCTCATTCATATCAATGGTCATAAAATCTTCACTTCTTTCTAATCATTCTAGCTGGGGGTATCCACACCATCCATAGCAAACGGACTCTCTTTTTAACAGTTTGGACAATCTACCTTTCAGAGTGCCATTATCAGGCTCTTACTCCAGTTGATCTTAAAGAATATAAAATCTTTCATTTCAATATAGTCACTTAGAGATGTGGCACCAAAAAGCCATTTCAGTTCACAGGAAGAACTGAAGAAGGCCAAGAAATAAAAAGGGGGAGGTAGGTCGTTTGGAAATCCTTGCTAGAACTTCCTTTCTCAACCTGCTGATCCAGCAATTTGAACTTCATGTGTTTTGACAACAGCTGCAGCAGTTACCCTAAGAGAGTTTTCCATTATGTTTTTCTCTCTCTTTGTGCTGGACTGATGAGTCTAAAATCCTTCCTGGAGTAATCTTTTTTAAAAAACAAAACTGGCTGAGATCCTTGGGAGAGGCCAAGTAGTCAATCCGGAAGCTTTGCAGTCTTTTCTTTTACCTTCCTCTAAGGCCGGTTTAAGAGGAAAGGAAAGAATTGCCAGCCCCTGGTTTTTCCCCCGGCTAACTCCAGCACCGCGGCCCCGAGACTCTTCTCTTGTTTCGGGGTCCCCGGATTCTCTTCCAGTATTTCTTTCCCCTTGGTTTCCGCCTCCCCGCCCAGCCAAGATCAGAGGGCCCGTCCGGGAGGCCCTGTGGGTTCAGGCCCAGACTGGCTCGACTGGGCCAATCAAACCAGGCCTCAAAGCGCCGCTGGTGTAACTCCGCCGAGCCGAATGGGCGCTCCGGGGACACCAGCCGCCGAGCTGAAGAAGGCCGGCCGCCAGGTCCGTCTGAGCCAAGCGCCAGCTCCCCGCATCGCAACCCCGCGGACTTAGGCCTAGGCGGCGCTATCACCTCCCATCTAATTGTTTTTTTGGGGGGAGGGGCTCGGTAAGCCTCGCCTGGGAAGAATTGGGAGCGATTCCTCCTAAGAGGAATATGGGAATGGAAACTGTTTTCCACCCTGTCGAATTACGGAGGGGGGGGGTCCGCGCTTTTAAGAAAGGAGGGTTGTGCCGGGTCTCTCCAGGATATAATTCAGGATTTAAAATACTTGGGTCTATATTTTTCACTCAAAGACATTAAGAAAGGTTTGGCAAAACAGGGTGACCCCAAGAGTTGTATTTTGGTTTCCATGCTCTCTGTTTGCTGAGCTCTTTATAATAAGTAATATTATATAATACATTACAATATTATAATAATGAATAATATGATGAAAACAGTTTTTCCAACGAGGGGGAAATTGAAGTCCCATTGGTCAAGATTCCCATCCCATTTAGCCAAATTGTTTGAAAATGGGGGATTAAGGAGATGATCCCAAAATGTGATCTGCACCTCCTGAGATTTTAAGCCATAAAGGGGGTGGGGGTGGGATGGAATCACCTGATCATTGTTTTTCTTTCTCCTTTCATATGTACTATATACATTTTCTATTCGGGTACATTTCTTAAACACTGTAGTACCATAATTTTTATATCTGTGCAATAACTCTAAATATACATCTTCACACCGCAGAAAAACTTCAGCCCTGGCACCCTTTTTATATGATATTACATCACACTTTTTAGATGATACACAATACATAACAGTGATGAGGTCATTGTAATATTGATATTAAAACAATGGAGGAATTGTAGAATCTATAATATGTTCATAAAAATCATGACAAGCCTTTGGCACTTGATCTCTCTGTACAAGAGTTTTGGAAAACAAATGATTTCTGACTACTTAAAAATATAGGTTCCTACTTTTGAATGGACATGTTTTCTTTTTTCTCAAAATAAGTAAAGGCTATTGTGCTTTTTAAATAGCTGCGTATAACAAGCTCCAACTGAAATGAAAGTATTTTTTACTGATGGTGGGAGAGATCCTTTGCTTTGGGATATTTTGTCTGGTAGGACAGAGCATGCAAAAAGGGGAGGAAAAGCCAATGTGACCTGGACTGGACTTCAGGTCTCATCTCCCATAGTTGACCAGGCCAGAAGCTGTTAATGGGAGATTCAAATCAGTCCATTTCTGGAAGATCAGAATTTTGCTTTAACAAGATGGATAAAAAGATAGAGAATATATAAAACTATCCAGACCAGGAGAGGAAGAAATCAACTGGATCGCAGAGTGAATCTAAAAGGAACTAATAATTTAGGATTTCTTAAACATTTTAAAGAAGACTGAAGATAAAAACAAATTCTATGAGTCTCTTTTGTATGTATTTACATTTAAAAGTAAACAATCCATTTTACAGAGATTCTTTTTTTTCTTTTAGCCAAGCATATGAATGCCTTTTGAGAAATAAATTTCAAATGAATCAAGTGAGTTTTTATTATAAGGAAATAGGTATCATAGTTGTTCTCTTTTGCTTTGTTTGGCTATTCAGAACTGAGGCTGGCTAAATGCTGTTTCACTTTAAAAGATAAAATATTTCAAAACTATTACAACTATTTTTAAATACAAAATATGAAATGCACACAATATATAATATTCATACATTTGGTTGCAGCAAGGAGTATATGTATATGTATATATATTG